CAGTGCCACGGGGCAGTGCTTGAGGGGGGCGACATCGCGTGCGACGGGCCCAAGCTGGGCTACGCCGAGTGGGCGCAGACAGGCTGGGCGGCGATGTCGATCAACGAAGACGGGAAGCCGAAGGTGCAGTTGTGGGGGCCGCAGCCGCGTGCCCTACCAGCCCAGAGGAAGGTGAAGCGCGCGGAGATGCGGGCCTTCCTGAAGGTGCTGGAGAAGGCGCTGCCGCCCTTCAGGATCTACACGGTCCACAGGGGCATCATCGACGGCCTGAAGAAAGGCGAGAGGTGGCGTACGAGCTGGAAGAGGCCGCATGCAGACTTGCGGCGCAGAATTTGGCACAAGGTGAAGGACGCGGACTTAGACATGGGCACGGTTTTCCACGTTAAGGCGCACAGGGCCAAGGCCCGGATAGCGCAGTTGCAGGGGGGCGAGCTCAAGATCGCGAAGGGCAACGGCGAGGTAGACCTGCTGGCGAAGGCAGGGGTTGAGCTGGACGCGAACTTCGGCAAGCAGCAGGCGCTGGAGGAGTTGGGCACGAAGGTGCGCTGGGCGGTGCAGAACATCGGATGGTGGTACCAGAAGATGAATGGCGAATGGCCCGACGTCCCCAAGCGCGAGCCAGGAAAGCCGAAGAGGAAGATAGTCAAGCAGAAGCTTGCGTTGACAAACCACGATGTCATCAACAGGCAAGTGGCTCGTGTGCGTCAAGTGTGGGAAGCGAGCGGCCTCGAAGCGCATGAGGAAAAAGCTGTGGGAGGCGGAGTGCGCGCCGCCCCCGTGGAGATCCTCGGTCGCGAGGAAGGCGGGAGCTTCGGGGTCGCTCGCGGCATGCGTCGCTCTCACGGCTGCGGGGGCTGTGGCAGCAGGGGCGCAAGAACGCGGGCGTCGCGAAGGCGAAGGTCGACCCGCTGCGCGAGGGCACCGAGTGGAAGTCCACGGGCCATGCGTGGTGCGCGTGGCGCGCGGGGCCCACTCGGCGACGAGGAGAGCGGGGCCGGGGGCAACGTGCCCGGGGCCCTTGGAGAAGAGGGGCAAGTCTTCAAAAGACGACGCCAAAAAGAAAAAGCGAGACCGCATCCTCGCGGGAAAGCACCCACAAATGGGAAAGCAGCTGCCGCGAGAGCCAGTCATGCCAGCGCAACGTGGACGTTGAGCACTACGGGGGCCCGCTCTCGGGCATGCTGAAGAAGGCCGTGAAGGCCTGGGTTCAGGCCGCTGGGGAGCGGCGCGGGCTTGCTGGCGGGATCCACTAGGGGCTCTGGGGAGTAAAAGAAAAGCCTCCAGGAGGCCTCTTGGAGCGGAAGGCTCGGATTCTTGGCTCGCGGTCTCCATGTTGGGCCCCTCTTGGGGCCCTTTTGGGGCCCTCTTGGGCCGTATTGGGCGCCTTTTGGGCTGTCGTGGGGCCCTCTTGGGCGGTCTTGGAGCTCTCTTGGAGGCCTCTTGGGCCGTCTTGGGGTGGTCCTGGAGGCTTCTTGGGCCGTCTTGGAGCGTCGGAAATGCGAAAATGCGAGGATTCCCGGATTCCCAAAACATGAAAAACCAAATGGAAATCAATGATTTTGGCCTCTTGGGGCTCTCTTGGAAAGGGTCGGGGCTCTCTGGGGGCGTCTTGGGAGCTTCTTGGGCCGTCTTGCGCTCCGGGGAGCGTGGAAGGCCGCGCCCAAGAGGAAAACCATCTCTGATCTGAGTTGGCCGAGAGCGCCCCAGGACCTTGCCGGGATACGTTCCAGCCGGGGACCCCCAGGGGCCGCTCCGCGCGCGCGAAGTATAGAGTCATTGTTAACCAGCTACCGGAGATCTTAGCACGCCTGTGGCCCGTTGGGCCGACGAATAATACACAGGTATACACAGGAGGGCGGGGGGAAGGACGAGGGGGAGGAGGGGGGGGGAGGAGGAGGAGGATTAGCATACAAAGGCGTACACAGGAGGACAGGAGGGAGGAGGAGGAGGAGGAATAATAAGAATAATAATAAGAAGCGGAAGCATAATAGTTATAACAACAATAGTACCTATACGACCACCCTGTGGGTGATAAGGAGGTTGGGGGGGTGGAGGGGCCGAGCAATCGGCAACAGTGGTGATTGTTCTCCTGACGATGCCAGTGGCGATTTTTTTCGGAGGCCGGCTGAGGCTCCTCTCCCTCTCTTTGTCGGGTTGCACATGGTGCAAATGCAATTGATGAGAACTGCTGCGACAGCGACGGCGGCGGCGCCCTGTCGGCGTATCCCCTTTCATGTAGACGGACCAACTCCAGGGGCCCAGACGCACCAGTTTTTCGATTCGCTTCCAGCCGCGGCGGCGAGCAGGGCCTCCGAGGGCCAGGAAACCTCGACCTAACCTCGGCGCCAACTTCAAAACGGAACCGGAAGCCCTCCCAGGGGCCCGCGCCGGCGTCCTGTCGGCGTATCCCTTTTTATGTAGACGGCCGAACTCCACGGGCCCAGCCGCCCCAGTTTTTCGATTCGCTTCCAGCCGCGGCGGCGAGCCCGCGCGGCCGCCCGAAGGAACGGGGCGCGCTCGGAGAGAGCGGCTGGCAAAGCCTAGCCTGTACTGGTGGGTGCACGGGGCCTCGCCCGCACGCACGGCACGCACGAACACGAAACCGAAATCGATTTCCCGGTAGGGGGGCTTTCCGTTCCACTTCGATCTCACCCCCCAACTTCCGATCACAATCGATCTCACAATCGACGTCGTCATCATCATCATCATCATCATCAACATCACCAACGTCATCATCATCATCATCATCGTCGCCATCATCAACATCATCATCACCATCATCATCATCACCATCATCATCATACTCATCATCAACATCATCATCGGGACACCGACGGGACACCGACGGGACACCACCGGGACACCGGCGGGACACCGCGCGGCCCCGCGCCCCGGTGGAGAATGATTTGGTGCGGCCGCGCCTCAGCCACAGAGGACACCAACAGGGCACCGGCGGGACACCGCGCGGCCCCGCGCCCCGGTGGAGAATCATTTGGTCCGGCCGCGCCTCAGCCACAGGAGACTTTCCTCTCGCCCGCCCACGCAGCTTCGCCTCGCCCGCACGCACGGCACGCACGAACACGAAACCGAAATTGATTTCCCGGTAGGGGGGCTCTCCGTGCCACTTCGATCTCACCCCCCAACCTCCGAATAATACGACGAATAATATGAAGACGAATAAGAAGAATACGAAGAATAATAAGAATAATAATATGCAGACGAATCAGAATAGTAAGACGAATATTAATAATAATAATAATAATAATAATAATAATAATAGTAATACTATTAATACGAATAATAAGACAAAGAAGAAGAATAATAATAAGAAGAATAAGAAGAATACTAACAATAATAACAATACTACTAGTAATAATAATACTCGTAATAATAATATTAATAGTAGTAGTATCAATAATACTAATAATAATAATAATAATGATAATAATAATATTAATAATATGAAGAACAAGCAATAATAATACTAATAATACTAATAAGAATAATTGTAATAGTAATACTACTACTAATAATAAGACGAATGCTACTAATAAGACTAATAATAAGAATAATAATAAGAAGACGAAACATAATAATAATAAGAATACGAATAATGATACTAAGAAGAAGAAGAAGAAGAAAAATAAGAATAAGAAGACGAATCATAAAAATAGGAGGAGGAGGAGGAGGAGGAGGAGGAAGAGGAGGGGGATTAGCATACAAAGGTACACACAGGGGAGCAGGAGAGAGGAGGAAGAGGAGGAGGAGGAGGAGGAGGAGGAATATTAGGATACAAAGGTATACAAACGAGGGCAGGAGAGAGGAGGAGGAGGAAGAGGAGGAGGAGGAGGAGGAGGAGGAGGAGGAGGAGGAGGAGAGGAGGAGGAGGAGGAGGAGGAGGAGGAGAGGAGGATTAGGATACAACAGGGGAGCGCAGGAGGGAGCGTTGGAGACACAGATTCGGCCTGGAATCGGCCATTGCGTGCCGAATATGTGTCTCCCGCGCCCCGGGGGCCCCCCGCCAACAGGGGGAGCGCAGGAGGGAGCGCGGGAGACACAGATTCGGCCTGGAATCGGCCATTGCGTGCCGAATATGTGTCTCCCGCGCCCTCGGGCCCCCCGCCAACAGGGGGAGCGCAGGGAGGAGCGCGGGAGACACAGATTCGGCCTGGAATCGGCCATCGCGTGCCGAATATGTTTCTCCCGCGCCCCGGGGCCCCCCGCCAACAGGGGGAGCGCAGGAGGGAGCGTTGGAGACACAGATTCGGCCTGGAATCGGCCATTGCGTGCCGAATACGTGTCTCCCGCGCCTGGGAGCCCCCTGCCAACAGGGTGGGCGCAGGAGGGAGCGCGGGAGACGCAGATTTGGCCTGGAATCGGCCATTGCGCGCGAAATTGCGTTTCCCGCGCCCTGGGCCCCCCGGCGCCCCGCCAACAGGACGAGCGCAGGAGGGAGCGCGGGAGACGCAGATTCGGCTTAATCTTTGTCTCCCGCGCCCTAGGGCCCCCCGTGTGAACTGATCAAAGCCGCCGAAGCCTTTGATGGCAACAATAAGAATGAAAAACCAGAAGAACATCTGATGATCTCTTCACACCGCTGGCGCGTTCGACTCAAGGGCCCTAAAGGGTTTGGGTCAAAACGTAAAAGTACGCCCGCTATGCTACAGTCATGCTCTGCAAAACGTGACAGTATGCTCGCTATACTACAATCGTGCTCTGCAAAATGTGAATTTCGAAACTCCACAGATAACTCCACCTATAAACATCTCAAACATCTTCTGCACAAGCTGCCAAACACTGCATAAACAAATGGACATAAACAAACGGCAAATTAACAGCATACTATGGCATGCACACTTGCACCTGCAAGCTAACTATGACATGCACAACTGCATAGGTTTGAAATGCAAACCTGCGTCTGCAAACTGAATATGCCATGCACAGACAGCAATAAGAAAACTGAGCGTACAAAAAAAATGAAGCTGCGCTGGTGCGTTGGCTCACTCACTGCAGCCCTTGGGGCTGTCGTCTGCTGCCCGATCGTAGCCGTCCTGCCACTGGTTGGGTTCAGTCGTCTCCACTGAAACCCCGTCTGCTCGCTTGAATCCGTTCATCTTGTGGCAGAAACGCCACTGACCTCCCTGCAGCCGGTATGTGAACATACTCTGTGCGCCGACAGTCCGCCGTCGCACCTGCTTGTGGTTGCTGCTCGTCTTCTTGAGGTGGATGGTCGTCTCCTTGTGGTGGATGGTCGTCTCCTTGTCGATGCTGGTCATCGCTGTCTCCTCGGTCGTGTCATGCGCGTTGCTTGTCTCAGTCTGGTACTTCACACTGGAGTCGTCCCGATGCTCCGTAAACTCTCGCAATATGCAGTAAACTGCTGGAGTTGCCACTGCCATTCCAATCATGGTAAACGTTAATGTATTCCAGATGCTTCCAGAAAACCACGAACACTTCGCGATCTCGTCATAGTAGTACTTGTACTCTGTGTGGTAGTCGAACTCTGGAGTGTAGGTAGCCGCTGGCTTGCAATAGCACGTCGCAAAGACCGCCAATTGTTTGAGTGGTGATCCCGCCTTAGTAGCTGACGACGTCTCCATCTTACTTTTCATGATGGTCTCCTGTCGCTCCTCCTTGGTCTTCTTCTTGGCTGCCGTATAGGTAGGGTCGCGCTGTAGCTGAAGTCGTCCAGCTCGAAGTCTGTCCGCCAAGAGTTGCCCTGTCGCTAACTTCGTGAGGCCATCCGCATATTGCCGCTCTGATGAGACTCACTTCCATTGCGTATGTGTAGCATGCATCGGCTCTCGTAGTGCCAATACCTCGATGCCGCTGCGCTTGTCCTGGAAGCTGGTGATACTCTCCTTCTTGGCTGCGTCGTAGAGCGCCTTCGCATCGATCTCGAGTGGTGACTCTCCTTCGTAGTGCGTGTTCTCGTCGATGTTGACGTTCACGTTGTCGTAGATGAGAGCTGCCCAGACTCGCTTCGGACATTGTAGTGCGTCCATGCCTGCTGCCGCTGCTTGGGATTCTGCGTGTAGCGATGACCTGGCGAGTCTCATCAAGTTGACATATTTTCCAGACAGCAGCGCGGAAATCTGAATCCTCGCCGTCAAGTGCTTTCGAGTGACACGCCACAATCACATACCCTCCTTGGCTCGATCCGTCTTGTCTTACCCCCAAGCTGCGTCCGTTATCGCTACGAGCACGATGACGCTGACCTTGCCAATCTCCTTCATCTTGAGACCGACGCCCGCGTTCTGCCTGAGGAACCTTAGCGTCTGATTTACCTCTTGCTGTCGCCGCCGTCGCCGTTGGAAACTGCCCGTGGCGAATGCTAGCTGAGACTAACGCATGTGGGCATGCCCGCCAATTTGGCCACTGTAGAGCTCCAAGTAGTCCTCGAAGTTGGCGTATCTCCTTTGTGAGCGGTCGGTCGTTGTTGCCGTCCGTCTGATCAATCGCGATCGGTTTGAGGTTGGAGGCGTAGGACTGCATCTGGATGTTGATCTCAGCGGCGTTGGAGTGCTTCTTGTCCCAGAGAGTGGTCCGGTGAAGGTCCCATCCACAAAGCGTTATTTTGTCATCCTCGATCCATTTCCGGAACTTGACCTTGCTTTTGATTGCCTCGATTTTTTGTTGTAGTTGCTGCCGGGCTTGCGATCTCCTCCCCCCAGCATGTCGTCGACGTAGAGTAGGATAAACCCGTCGCAGTTGCCGTCTTTGTCGTAGCTAACTAAGAGGCATGGGTCCAGGGGGTGATGCTTGAGCCCGCTGGCTTTGAGGTCGTCAACTGCTCGTTGCCACCGACGTCGCGGTGCGTCCACTTGTCCGTGCGTAGGCTAGATCCGCTTCGTGGGCGCGTCCGGTTCGATGCCCATGAGGTCTGCGGCAGCTCGCGGTACTTTGGCGTGGAGCACTCGTTCTTGCGGCCGCCCCTGTAGGAATGCGGTTGTCACGCCCGCTGCCCGCAATCCCCATCCGTTGCGCGAGTTACCCGACGGGGAAGGCCAGCGCAGCTTGCCGGCCAGACTCCAGAGCATTAGGATGGACCCGCAGCCCCGCCAAGCCTGGCAGGCCACGTCGCCCTTTGCATCTCCGCGTGCCGCCGCGGGGCAACCCGCCATCGCGGGCCGGGAGGCTGCCCGGAGGACCGACGACCTATTCAGACAGCAGCAGTGCATGCATGGGCAGGTGCGAGAGGCCATGGAGAGCATGGGGCGGGACGGAATAGACCTTCCAAACGCCAACTGGACTCCGCAGCGGGAGTGTGTCCCTGATGCTACTCCATCGCCGAACCCTCAAACAGGCATGGGTGCACTTCTCAGCCATCCGACCTATGATCCGACGGCTGCCGAGAGGCCAGTGGCACTACACATGGATTCACCCATAAATCCTGATTATTATGCGCAGACGACGGGGACCACTCCGGTCAGTGGCCAACCCGAAAACCAGTGCGCACGGGCGGCAGCAGACGATTTCTATAGGTCCCAGCTAACACGGGGAGCTGGATGCGAGGGCGGTATCCCTGGCCAGGTGCCCCGCCACGGGTACTTGGCAGCCCCCGTGGACCAGGATGTGAACTCACGCGGCCCAGCGCCCCGAAATATCGGCCGTCCATGGGGCCTAGCAGGCCAACCTCTCAATGCAACTTGCTCGCCAGCAGCGACATCAGGCGCGGCCGGCGGGCACGCCGCGCGATGAATCGTGCGGGGGCACACGCTGCTCCTCCAGCTGCGGGGCAACCCGCTATAGGCCTTTCAGCAACGCTTGCGATGGGGCCAATGCCTGCGGGGCCACTAGCGGCAGCTGCAGCCCCGCCTGGCCGCCGCGAAATGGGAGAAACCACGCTTGAGCCGCGGGCGCGCGTCAGGCCGTCGGTGGCGCCACCGATCATCAGCGACGGCGATTTCACAAAGTGCGCCATATGCTTCGAAGAGTTTGCATGCCAAGACAAGGTGTGGAGGCTCCAATGTGGTCATATCTTCCACGCGCAGTGTTGGGGCCGCGTAGCACCCGCACACGCGGGGCGACAGCTGGGAGGTGCCCCAAGTGAGGCGCCGTGCGCCATCTGCAGAGGCGTAGGCCGCATCGCAGGTGAATTTCATCATGCGTCATGCCCCTGCTGGGGAGCACAGCGCAGCGGATCGACGTGGAGAAATATTCCGCGGGGCATATGGACTGAGAGACCTCCGTGAAGAGCTGAACCGCATCACCGCCATGATGGTGGGCGCTACAGCTACTGCAGGGACACCCGTTGCATCTGCGCGGCAATCTGCTGCACCTCCACGCGCGCGGCCAAACCCAACAGCAGCGACGTCAGTTGCAGACGCGCAGATGCCACCGGTCGCCGAATCAGCGGCAATTGCAGGGGCACCTGCTGCAACGACGCCAGCATGGTTACCTGCTAATGATGCGTGGCTGAGACGGATGGAGAGCCACGGAGGGAAGCGCACAATGGCTTCGGACGCCACATTGCAGGGCGCGGGGAAACCCGCTACGCTCGCGCAGAACCGAGAGCCCAATGAGTGCGCGCAGCGGTGCCAGTGCCATATCTGAGCCTGACACGCTGCACGCGGTGCTGATGATCAAAGCAGATGGTCATATAGCCGTGCGTGCCGACGGGGGCACCATTGAGAACATGTTGCTTGCGCGGCAGCATCCCTTTCGATATGATGAGTACCCCTCTGAATGGACTCTCCAACAGCATCCTATCACAGAGGAGGAGGCCCGAGGGGCCAGTGGGTGCTGGATCATTGGCGCCGCAAAGGCATGCGCCGCACAACGCTGCCCGCTGTGCCCGGCAGATTCGGCGACCGACATGAGTTAGCCCTAGCAGCGATTTTTTCCCCTACCATCCTGTGGTGTTGGGTCCTCGTTTTGAAGAGACAGCGCCCCGCGTCCCTCGCTCCTCCTCCCCCTCCTCCCTCCTCCCCCCCCCTCCTCCCTCCTCCATTTCGGCACAGCACTCACGCGTTTCGTGGCCCCATAGGGAGCTCCGCCGAAGGCCCCAGTGAGTGTGCCCGCATGCGTCCCGCACACCCATTTCGGCACACCCCTCGCGCGTTTCGTGGCCCCGTAGGGGGCTCCGCCGAAGGTCCCAGTGCTGCCGCCCGCATGCGTCACCCACACCCAATTCGGCACACCCCTCACACGCTTCGTGGCCCCATAGGAGCTCCGCCGAAGGCCCCAGTGCCGTCGCCTGCATGCGTCACCCACACCCAATTCGGCACACCCCTCACACGTCTCGTGGCCTCATAGGAGCTCCGCCGAAGGCCCCAGCGCTGCCGCCCGCACGCGTCACCCACACTCAATTCGATACACCCCATCACACGTTTCGCGGCCCCATAGGAGCTCCGCCGAAGGCCCCAGTGCTGCCGCCCGCATGCGTCACCCACACCCAATTCGGCACACCCCTCACACGCTTCGTGGCACCATAGGAGCTCCGCCGAAGGTCCCAGCGCTGCCGCCCGCATGCGTCACCACACCCCAATTCGGCACACCCCTCACACGTTTCGTGGCCTCATAGGAGCTCCGCCGAAGGCCCCAGCGCTGCCGCCCGCACGCGTCACCCACACTCAATTCGGCACACCCTTCACACGCTTCGTGGCCCCTTAGGAGTTCCGCCGAAGGCCCCAGTGCTGCCGCCCGCGTGCGTCACCCACACCCAATTCGGCACACCCCGCACACGTCTCGTGGCCCCATAGGAGCTCCGCCGAAGGCCCCAGTGCTGCCGCCCGCATGCGTCGCCCGCACCCAATTCGGAGGCCCCAGTGCTGCCGACCGCATGCGTCGCCCACGCCCAATTCGGCACACCCATCACACGCTTCGTGGCCCCATAGGAGCTCCGCCGAAGGCCCCAGTGCTGCCGCCAGCATGCGTCGCGCATACCCAAGTCGGCACAACCCCCGCACGTTTCGTGGCCCCATAGGGAGCTCCGCCGAAGGCCCCAGCGCTGCCGCCCGCATGCGTCCCGCACACCCAATTCGGCACACCCCCCACACGCTTCGTGGCCCCATAGGGAGCTCCGCCGAAGGCCCCAGTGCTGCCGCCCGCATGCGTCCCGCACATTCATTTCGGCACACCTCTCACACGTTTCGTGGCCCCATACGGAATTCTACCGAAGGCCCCAGTGCTGCCGCCCGCATGCGTCCCGCACATTCGTTTCGGCACACCCCTCACACGCTTCGTGGCACCATAGGGAGCTCCACCGAAGGCACCAGCGGGTGTGCCCGCATGCGTCCCGCGCATTCATTTCGGCACACCCCTCGCACGTTTCGTGGCCCCATAGGGAGGTCCACCGAAGGCCCCAGTGCTGCCGCCCGTATGCGTCCCGCACATCCATTTCGACACACCCCTCACGCGTTTCGTGGCCCCATAGGGAGCTCCGCCGAAGGTCCCAGTGGGTGTGCCCGCATGCGCCCCGCACACCCATTTCGGCAGACCCTTCGCACGTGCCCGCATGCGTCCCGCACACCCATTTCGGCGCACCCCTCGCGCGTTTCGTGAACCCTCACACGTTTCGTGGTCCCATAGGGAGCTCCACCGAAGGCCCCAGTGGGTGTGCCCGCATGCGTCCCGCACACCAATTTCGGCACACCCCTCGCACGTTTCGTGGCCCCGTAGGGGGCTCCGCCGAAGGTCCCAGTGCTGCCGCCCGCATGCGTCCCGCACGCCCATTTCGGCATACCCTTCACACGCTTCGTGGCCCCATAGAGAGCTCCGCCGAAGGCCCCAGTGGGTGTGCCCGCATGCGTCCCGCACACCAATTTCGGCACACCCCTCACGCGTTTCGTGACCCCTCACACGTTTCGCGGTCCCATAGGGAGCTCCGCCGAAGGCCCCACTGGGTGTGCCCGCATGCGTCCCGCGCACTCATTTCGGCACACCCCTTCGTACGTTTCGTGGCCCCGTAGGGGGTTCCACCGAAGGTCCCAGCGGGTGTGCCCGCATGCGTCCCGCACACCCATTTCGGCACACCCTTCGCACGTTTCGTGGGCCCATTCGT